AATAGTAGTCGTAAAATTACGCCTGGAAAAACATAACATGGAAAAAACCCAACCCAACGAAGATAACGAATCTTAATTAAATTCATTATGTTATCAACTGCGTTCATCAGCATTATCCTCATTATGCTCAAACAACTGCAAGCCAGACACAATTATCAATCGCAACAGGAACACAACGACACAACATCACATGTGACATCGTCACATCAGCATAAAATCACATGCAACACATCACACTTAACAACCATATTATTAACATCACCAACAGCAACAAAACAACAACAACAACACAACGAAACAAAATCACGTTGCAACAACCTCTTTCCTTCTTTATGCATGCCCATTAAAACTCCAGCACGCAATCACTTTTATTAATCCGGGCTTCTTCTTTATCTCCTAATTAAATAGCTTCATCCGAATAAGCATTAAGTCGCATGCGATTTACTTAATTAAAATACAAATAATTTTCATTCCTATCAAAGTTTTGTTGCAAAAATGTAACAATGAATCATCGAAATAATTTTTCCTATACAAAACTACTCATTAACCAAAATAAATGAATGCATAGCTGAAGTGATTAATTTAATAGTGATAAAAAAGTTCTCTTCACACGCACACACACACGCACACACACACGCACACACACGCACACACACACACACACACACACACACACGCACACACACACACACACACACACACACGCACAAAACGGCTTCGCTCAATAATCTTGGTGCCCTGTTTCACTGACAGTTGGAAAATGTTCACTCAACTGAAATGTTGCTATTGAAACATTGAATGATTTGGATTGAACGCTGAAGAATGTCAATTAGATTTAATTTATTCAAGAAAAATATAAGTTGAATAAGAATATTTTTATCATAATGTGGTTTCAGCCACAAAAATGTCAAAAAATTTAAAAAACTAAACAAAAAACACGACAAACACAAAAGAGTGCAAACTAGAAAAAGTTAAAACGTTAAAAGAAAACAAAAACATGCATCCGATAGAAGAATTTCATAAGATGTACTCAAAATCAACATGACATATCTTAACCAGGCAAATTCTCAACTTAACGATTTTGAACGTTTGGTAGGCTAACTTGTGTTATACATGTACCACAGATGTGAACACAAACACAGACCAGTGATACTACCAATATTCTTCCAACAAAGAAACACATGATTAACTTTAATTCTAATTAAGTTATAATCAAAGTCGCTGTAAAAACAAAGACACAAAGACGGAACAATACTATATAACTACACTGATGATGGCAGTTGATGCCCAAAAGAGCTTTTTTGTAGTAATAACGTTATCAATAATGTTTTGTCAAAAATGTCAAATATTAAAAGTTTTTTATTTAACCTTAATAAACTTCTTGATGATCTTGATGATAAAAGTCTCGTTAGAAAAATTGAGAAACTCAACTACAAGTTGAATAATGCGGAAAACGCAGTAATCTTTATAAATAATTGTATATATTTATATATATATATATATGTATTAGAATATATGTATATGTACATATATATATATATATATATATATATATATATATATCTAGTTAACTGTTATATATATATATATATATTTATTTATTTATTTATAGTGATTTTAAAAATAAAAAATTAAATAAAGCTCATACAAAATCAGAGTTAAGTAGAAAAGGAATACAACTGATATATATGATTTATATTTCCATATAAACATTACAATGCTTGTATAGGAGTAATTATTATAACCAAAACACAAACAGTTAGACTAGATGTATGTATGACATACATACACAAACACGCCACACAACAATCGCACACAAACACACACCACACGCACATACACACCACACGCACACACACACGCATAATATACATACATAAAATATGCATGAACAAACAAATGAATAGAATATGAATGATATAAGAAGGCAGAACTATAAAAACATATTCGAACAAGCTCGTTTATTCGTTAGTCGCCGTTGCTTCAATTGTTGCTGTACAACGATCCATTTTGTTGGCGATATTTTTTTTTGCACAAATAAAATATTTTTATAGCTTGTACGTATCTATTTGTTATAAGTAATCTTTGTAGTCATTGTACTGCTGTAATGTTTTGTACCGTAATGTATTGTAATGTAATGTTATAAATGTCTCGTTTTGTTATTTCTGGCTTCTGCTATTGCTATTGTTGAAGTTACGTTTTGAATTCTGATTCGAATGATAAATAATTGCTAAATTCAACACTTGTAAATTAATCCGTAATTAAATATTTAATTTTTTTTTCATTGAAATTTTACTAGACGGTATGTTAAATATAAAACGATTGTAATGTCGTAAATTGCAAGGAAGCACGTGTAAAGTACTGGATTCTCGTCGAATCAGGTAGTGTCTGTTTGAAGTTTTTTGAAACAGAATTATAAAAAAATAATTTCAAAATTAATAAAATAAAATATAATAAAATTTGATTGTCAGAATACAGTTAAATGTTATATTGGGTTGTAATCTATTAAAATCAACTCTGCTGCTCATCTAGCAGCTCGTGCCCCTCTCTTCTCTCATATATCTCCATATCTTTATGTCTTGCACTATGGCTACCTATAAAATATAGAATAATGTACAAGTTTCAATCTAAATTATTTGTCCAAATACTCATCAGATAAATTAATTAAGATTACGGTTAATTACGATTTAGAAATCGTCCTCTCGTTCTCATTTTTTTAAAAATCCTGTTGAATAATCTGCGTTTGCTTTACTCATGAAGTCTCTACCTTCTTCCCTAACTACTTCTCCATCGCTTGCTAAGTTTAGGGCGAATCTCAAAATCCATCTGTTTGTGAAATCCACTGAGGAACGCTGTTGAAGGTCGCAAAAATGACGTTTCAATAAAAAAATTTGATTGACTGATTGATTTACTGATCAGTGATAATAGCAAATCGTTTTATATTGTTTTATTGTTATTATACTATAATTCAAACTAGTAAACATGTAAGCAATTATTGGGAATTGAAGTTTAAAAGACGTTAAAGTTTATGTTTCTATAATTTTATTGCTTCTTTCTCTGCATGTCAGTGTGTGCGTGTGTGCGCGTGTGTTTGTTTGTTAGCCGGACGTAATATTAGAACAGTTAAACGATAATTTTTTTATAATGAATTTTTGTTTAGCTTATGGGAGAAAATATTTTACGACAAATCAATGATTTAGAGAATTTTTTGGTTGCCATATTTTGAAATTTTAAAAAAATAAATTTTCATTTACATGTTTTATAATGTTTAAAAAAGTGGTGACTTTCAGACGTGTGCAGATTTTTTTAAGACCTCAAATTAAACGAGTTAAAATGATTAATAAGTTCAAATGTTATTGATGCAGCTGTCTTTCATAAGTATAAAAATCATCAAAGTAAATCCGAATTTGTTGCCGGTGAACCAAACTCTTGTACTGTACATACACATTCACACACGCACACATACACATTCACACATAAACACACACACAAACAAACACACGCACATACATGAACCATTAAAATAAATGAAACATACACTCGCACATTCGGACGATTGATTTCATATGCTATTTTATTTTACGAGTCGAATGATTTTCAAGGAAACCTCATTAACTACCTGGCCTCTATAACGCACGTGTCTTTTCAATTCTCCTTACAGATTAACTTCACACCAAATCATAAACAGAAACCTAATCGAAAACATAAACACTAACTGTAACGTCACTAAATTTTGTGTCATATTCATTATATATTATTAATATTTACAGTTATATTGTATCTATATGTACATTGAAAAAAGGAAAGAAAAGGAGAAAAAAAGAAAAAAAAAGAGAGAAAGAGAGAGAAAGAAAAGAAACATTTTTACGCATGCATATTTGTGAATGCACGTGCAAGTTTTTGTATTAAATACTTAATAGCAACAACTGCTGACTTCTGATCACACCGTCAAAATTGTTTTACCATTGCAGCTTCAACTCGTCACAGTCAGCGCTAAATAAATTGTTTTTGTGAAATAGTTTTACTACAAAAAGATCAAATTTTAATTTATAAACGTCATGTAAAAAATCAAAGTCAATATTTTCATTGCCTATAAATTACAACTTTGATGTCTGAATTAGTCAGTGATGAGCAATTAAATATGCGGTGTAGATTGATCGTCTCAAGTATAAACTTTCATTAATTGCAGTTGCTTTCTGCTGCTGCTTAACTAATACAACAATTTCATCTCAAGGTTTGTGTCCTTCTTTTTAAATAAACAGAAAGTGCTGAATTTCATTTATTAAAAATTTTGATCTGAAATGATAAATTGTAGCAAATTAGAATGGACTGAGAAATAATTAACTTGTTTGCTTTATAGTACGTACACCAACAGGCATTAATACATTTGAACACCGCACAGTGTAAGCCGCAAATGAACAAGACGAAGTAGAGAAAGAACATTTTGTGCTAATTTAGTTTGAAAAACAGCTAGAGCCGTAGTTAGATGAGTAAAATGTGCACTCACTCATTCAGATATGCCACTGCGTTATTTTAACTTTCTTCATTCACTAGTTAGAATTAACCGACTTCTTAACTAAACACACTCGATGTTAAATATTTAAAATCTTTCGTTATACTGTATGACGCATTTGTGCTTGCATTCTCAGGCTCACAGATGACAATCATTCATTTGATTCATTTATACAATCTTGTAGTTGGAGTTTGTCGTGTATTGTGGCTGCTTTGTATGTCTAATACAAATACCTAAAATAAATATTAACAATTATTTTTGTTTAAGGAGTGATCTCTCTAAATGAAATGGGATGCACTTAAAAAATAACTTTTAATGCACACACGTCTGCATGAACCACCGAACCGAAATTCAGCATAGAACCACAAATAACCAACCTGTTCATCTTCAAAGGCATCTGCTCGCGTTGTGTTAAAAAGTTCTGCAACAATTGCGATATGAATTGTTGGAGACGTGACGATGAACATAGATATTGGCTTGGTGAATCATGATCTTGCATTTATTTCCAAAGAAAAATAATCTGAATTGTCACAGGCCACAGCAGCAACAACAAAGTCAACAACAACATCATCTACAACAGCTCTATCACCAAGAACAACAACAACTACATCAACAAAAACTACATCAACAACAGAAAGATCAATCGCAAAAACAACAACTGTCCCATCATCAAATAACGTTGGATACAACTTCCGCTGGCAAGTCATCACTTAGCGGAACATTCCGGGATTCAACAGCACTTCACAAAAGCCAGCACATTCAGATTTCTACACACGGGCTAATTACACCTCACCCTCCAACATTATCACAGCCCACAAAATCATCTGAAAACAATCAAATTATTGAAAAAAATGAAAAAGACGTTGCCCAGTTTTCGAACAGACCAATCATCATCACCGGATCCAAAAAATTTTCATTATTACATTTTTTAACTGCCACTTGGCTGTTGTTGCTGTTGAACGTGGAGACCTGCGTGGCATCCGGTAGATTCCAATTAAAATTAATGTCCTACTACAACCCCAGGAACGAGTTGGCCAATGGAACGTGCTGTCCTAGGCCATCTTCAAGTCTGTTCGCATTGTGCAACTGTTGCAGTTATTGTTTTATTTGTTGCTATTTGTTTTATTTATTCTTTACAATGCAGCTTTGTTAAACGCAAAGCTGCTTACATGTTATTCTATACTAAAAAATTATAATTGAAACTGGTTTTTAAGTTTCGGACAGACTGTATTCGAACCATGCCTCTGAGTAATTGCGGCGCACGACACGGTATCTTTACCTACTGAGCCAACTCGCTTACTAAATTGATGACATCTTGTGTTGTTGTAATAATGTTGCTGTATTTATATTATATTGTCGTTGCTATTGTTTATGAGTTCTGAAGCTGTCTGAAGCTGAATTTGTGTGATGACGTTGCGCTGAAGACTCTTGAATGATTCCCCCATACCTACATACACTATACAACTACATGCATCAGCTATGTGTTCTTCGTGCAAGCCTTGCGGTATTTGTGCTATGCCACTTCATGGCGGCACTCTGGCTGAGCAATTGTTGAGGTTTTTTATCTCTGTCCTATTGAAGTGTTTAAATCAATTGAAGTCACTGAATCATAGTAGAAGTTTTATAAAAATTGTAATTTATGTAATTGGTTGGAATTTTTAACTCAACGCTATTTTCATTGCCGTTGACTAGTTTCTATTCAGCAGATTTTCAACGCGTACCTCATATTGTGCTAGAGAACTATCTTACAATCTCATACGCTGTGCCGTATCTAACAAGAGACACTCTTCAGATTACTTCTGTACATGCAAGATATCTTGCTAAACTTCCAAATCAAATGCAGATATAAAATGCAAAACAATTAAAACTGAATATTGATAAAACTTTAAATGGTAAGCAGCATGAAAAGAAATTGTTTGAAATGTGCTTAGGAAGTGACCGATCTCGGACCTGGGAGATGAACCGATCGAACTGCTTGGATGCTTGTGACGTCATCTACCGGATTTGCCTGAAAGAACATCAAACTCGTATCTCGGGCGGAGGACGATGCACTTTCGGAAATGTAACGAGTACTCAGTCGACTAGATCCGATAATATCGAATATCCAGACGACAACAACTCCACATACTTCGAGCTGGCATTCGAGTTTGCTTGGACGGTCAGTGAGCAGAATTTTACAAATTTTTAACGAAATTTTGCCGTTTTTAGATTTGGAAAAAATAGATCAATCATTTTTTATGTTATAATTTATAATGTTATAAATATCACAACAGATAGAATTTTGATTTTGCGCCTGTTTATAATTCACTTCTTCGTTCTCTTTATCAAAATTTTAATTTTTTCCAAATTTTTTGTTTTTATTCATTCATTTGTTGGTTCGTTCGTTCGTAGTGCTCCCATTTATTATCTGCCAAGAAAAACAATTCTAACAAAAAATCTAAATTCTGTTTATTGACAAACGTTTACTGGAATCAGCGAGCATACTTATTACTCGATAGATTCCGTTTAAGTTAGTCATTGTTTTTTAACAAATAATTGTACATTTCAGGGCAAGTTAGCAAATAATTAAACTTGACCTGTACTAAACTCTCAGCAGTTTCAACTTTCAGACAGTTTCTGCCATCAGTCCATTGCTTTTTGCACTATTTTCGCCTTTTTTATTTTTGTTAACACCTGGATAGTCAGTTGAAAACTGTTCACGATATGCACAATTTCGTTTTGACATATCGTTCATTTGAATTATTTTTTTTAATTAATAAAATTTAAAAAATTAAATAGTATTAGTCATGGATATATATATATAATATATATATATATATATATATATATATATATATATTATATATATATAATATATATATATAATATATAATATATATATATATATATATATATATATATATATAATATCCATGGTAATAGTGGCCGTTCTTGCATGAAACAATGCGTGGAACCGAACGCTCTCCACGCACTCAAACATTCACTTTTATTTTTATAGAGCGCCACTCCAACTATGGAATTTTAATTTATAAATTTAACTGTATAAATTACAATAAATATTATAAACTTTGCTGATTTAGGAAGTTGAATAATTACGTAGAAATATGTTGAAAAAATAAGACATAATTAGGACAGATTTTAAAAAAGGACGCCGATGCAAAAAGGACATATAGGAAAAATATTTGTTCGTTCGTTCGTTTATTCATTCATTCATTCATTCGTTCCTTTGTTCCTTCGTTCATTCATTCATTCATTTCTGCATCAAACAACTTGTAAAGATTACACGATCACGACGACAAGACATACACTTGAATGAATGCAGTCAAATGTAATTTTCCGTCTAAAACCAACATGACGATAAGTTAAAAAGCTCGCAACAATGGTGCCTTACAAATGTTGATACAGGCAGATAAATAACAAATGAAATCAGTGTGGCTATTAATAAACTATCTGATTGACAATTGGTGGCTTTAAATTGAAGCTCTCTTTTCGATCTTACGTCTGATTTCTATTCATTTATTTTTATTCACACGCTGATTATTTTAACATTTCAATTCATTCAATTTTAACATTAACGTAATAAAATCTGCTCTATCTACAATGCAGACGCATTGCTAGAGCTGGATAATATTAAGTTTTTTTAAAATCATTTAATAAATGTGTGCTTCGTAGTGGTGAGAGGATTTACTAATGTGAGCAACATTTTCAAGGGGAGAATTCTTTTTCTATGAGATTAGAAAATAATTAAGATGACGATCGTGAGAGAGGACAATTAAAATGGAGTTGGTGCGGTTAATTAGCACTATGGCATGTTGACTTTTACATTGTGTGTTGATGGCCTTCTGCTTAATGTCAATTGAAATGAGTTGATGAACGCACTCGCGAGCTCAGTTGTGCATGTATTAATAGTTCTTCATTCACTAATCAATGGAATCATTTAAAGCTCTTACGAATGTTTGAAGCAAGATGACAGTTTCAATACTGGTAAGTGAATTCTTGAAAAGATTAAGTGCAAGCAATATGAAGTTTTGTTATACGTTGCACAAGTTTTTATTATGACAGACGAGCGTGGAGATGATTTTATTTAGGAAAGAGTGAGACGATCCGGTGATGCGTAGTTGCCAGTTCAAACTATGTTGAGCAACATTCAAACGTCGAACGTTCGTTTCAAATTAGTATACGTAGACTTTTCTTGACTGAAAATTAAAATTAAAATATAAAACTTGTTATTGGATATTCAGAATTTTTTTAAAACACCTACACCAAATATTGAGTGATATTAAAGAACTCGTAATTTGAATATTTGGCCTTTAAAAATTTACTTCATGCAAGAGCACATCTGCCATTTCAGAATAGACAAACATAACTTATCGGTGGCAGCAGCTATTCCTTTCAAACGTGTTGCTCCTTTCGTGTCTGTAAATCGCTGTGGGCACATTTTGTGTTACTGTTGTCTTTGATGTTGCATATTTTGCGTCGTTGTTGTTGTCTCTAAAAATGCACGATGCGTGTTGCTGCTGTCTCTGAAGTATCGTATTTTGTTGTCGTCGTCAGATGTTTCCTCCACTGCCTGCCTTTCATCGCGTGAGCGTTTCATGCTGATTACACGGGGTGCCTGCTGGTCGACGTAGTACAATCATAATGTGCTGTGTGTGTCAGTGTGCATGTACGTACTATCAAATAATTTAATGATGAATCATTGCAGGTATTAAATGTAAACATACACACAGAACATGCCCAACAGAGATACACACATACAAGTTCGCAAATTAGTTTATCGATATTTCTGTTACTCCAATTGAAAACACACAGAGGCATTTGAAAACATTTGCATGTTAGCAAATTAAATAACCGATGTGTCTTTCGAGTTAATTCTATATTAAACGTGTTAGAATGAAAAAACGAACGATACTAAATGAACATTTTTATACTTTGCTGTGTTTTGAATGATGATCACCGCTGCATCAGAGCAACAACTAACTGACAACAACTGACTTGGAATTGGATTACTGAACCATAAAAATAAAATAAATAAATTTTATTGTCCCGCTTGTAAGAAAACGTCGGCATAACGTTATTGCGGTCTGCGATCAATTAGTTACATCGCTGGTGTTACTCTGTAACGAGGACAGGAATATTTCAATGTAATTAATGTTATCGTGACAATAGAATGGAGATTAATAGAAGTCAGATATCTTACATTTGAAAATATTAGGCACATACTTGCGTAAATCACTTTGCTCGTTAAAATTAACATCACTTTATTGTTGGAGGTTTGTACAGTTTGTCTCTTTGTTGGTCACATGTTTGTTAGCATAAACGCCACTCAGACCTTCCACCAAATCATTCAACTATTTGAGATTGAACGGTTGAAAAATCAAAAACAATCAAATCAAAAATCAACTCCAGGATCATGAGTCGACAATGAACGTCAGGTTTCGTGTTTCGCCGTTCGCCACCAGCTTTCATCCTATGAAAAAATCTCCCTACTTTCTTAACAAGTCTCTCCCAAAGAACTGAAATTTATGCTGTTTAACTCAAATAAAATTTGTGATATTGGTCATAAATTTGTTTCGCTTTTATTTTTGAGAATCAAAAAAAAATCTTTTTTAATATTTTTTTCATCTAAATAATTTATTCATAATTAACTTATTGCAAATGGTAAGAGTAAGGAGCACCTCATCTCATGTAATTACTTTTTATTAGAACAAGCTGCTCATTTGAAGTGTATAGTTGTGTTATACTTTTTAAATAACTGGAGAAAGTAAATAAACACACCCACACACTCACAATATAAACACCCACAAACACACACACACCACACACACATACATACACATAAACACACACACACACCACTCATACATACACACAACTCACACGCACATACAAACTCAACACATATCTATTTATTTTACATATCATAATAACACAGGTGTTTATACGTATGAGCCGTCGGCTTATAATTTATTAACCTGGGTTAACGTTAATTATATGTAGAGACAACTCTCATTAAAGCATGATCTTCTGTAAGTTCGACACTCACTGAGACTTGGTGCATTGAAGTTACTCGCATGCATTAACTGATTTACACTGACTTAAGTTATTAGCAGATATTACGGTATATTGGCTGTAAATCACCAATATTACAAGACCGCTTGTCACATTTGTTTGAAGTCAAGTTGAGCATGTTCCGATCGAATCTCAGCCTTCAATTGCTTGAATGAAACAAAATTGAGTCGACTTCTCAAAGGTTTGCCGACAGTCGTTAGTTCAAAATGGCTATGCATTTCAAATCTATTTCTTTTTGGCATTCTAAAGAGACATGCGAGTTTTATGTCGGCACTGATGCTGGTAAAGCGTGTTAAAGTGTTTTTAATTAGTGGCAAGAACTAAAACAGTGAAATTCTAGAAAGTTGTCACGCCATGACATACCAAAATACCTTTAATAACAAACTGAACTGTGGGAAAGCATGTCTATTGTCGTTCGCACGCGGATCGTCAAGTTTGTAATCTTGAGGAATTTTAAATTAATCAAAAAGCTCATTTGCATTTCAATTTTAGAACAATTTTTGCTTTTTAATAAAATATGTAAATGTTATGGGCACCAACTTATGTTTCAACTTTTGCTAAAAAATACCAACTTAATACAAAAAATCAACAAATTAAAAAATCATTTCCGATATAAACTTTGAGACTAATGTCAACTTGCTTAAAACACAAAACGAAGCCCGTGTGAGGTTGGACACGTACATATGCCTGCCACTAAGACACTGATTTTACTTGGAGCTTTGTGCGCCCTGCTGATACAAGATGCACACCACATCCTTGCTTGTCTGTCTCTCTCTCTGTCTGTCTGTCTGACTGCTTGCTTGCGTGTAAGTTTTAAAAAAACGTGCAGATTTTGAATGCTGATTTCGCTGCATGAGCTTGCTTCAATTCAAACTTCGCACATCTTCACATTCATAACGTTCACTTGCTGAATGTTTATAAGTGTAATATCGGATTCAATTAGTTGGCGAAGGGCCGTTTCGTTAATTTGGTGCGCTGCGTCAAAAAGTTGCATAATAATTTCAAATTTATTTTGTTCAACGATTTTCATTCTTTACTTTTCAGCGCTCATTCACTCTAATCATCGAAGCCCGACATCAGGCGCACGATTCCAACAGTCCTCAGCGATCTGAAGGTAGAAACACAACACTGTTTCATTTTAAATCTAACGTTCATCATTACAAAAATTTATGTTCTAAACATACGTTGCAACTTCTTTGTAGATAGCTACTTAATAGAAAGAGCTCACTACTCGGGGGTGATACTTCCACGATCCGAATGGCAGACGATGTCTTTCGCTGGCCACACCGCCATTCTCAAATACAAGATTCGCGTGCAATGTGATTTACACCATTTCAACGTCACCTGCACAAAGTTTTGCCGCCCAAGAAATGACACTTTCGGTCATTACACTTGTGACAGCAACGGCGACAAAGTTTGTTTGAACGGCTGGATAGGCACCAACTGCGAAACAGGTTCTTTATATTTTTGTATTTTTGTTAGTTGGATAGTTTAAGCGTCACGACAAGTTATGCAATCATAACAAACAGTTGCACGATGAGCCCGTTCAAACGCAAAAATTATGTTACTATCGTCAAACATGGCACACGATGCGCGTTTATAACGTTAAATACCATGTAGAGATGGTACTGTACGTACACAACATTTCTTGTGGATGATTGATTTCTTACAAAAGTCGTCAACTGAACGATCGCATTTTAGATAAAAGTTCAAATGATATGATGATGCGTGAAGGCAAGAGGCTGGAAATGAAAATGTTCATTGTTAAACTGCAAAAAGGAACGTTGAAGACCACCAACGTGAAAATTTTAAAAATTGAAGATGAGCATTTTACCAGTGGATGTTATCGACTTATACTTCCTCCCCCCTCCTTTACATTGATCATTCTCTTTTTAGTATTTTTTAGAGGCATCAACAACGAACAAACATTGAACGTAAATCAACCCATCTCATACATAGCATCAGGGATCTCTTTGTATTCAAACCCGGTCAATGTAATAGCGGTGTAATAGCTCTTTAACTGTTACACCAGCGCGTTTGCTAATTCTTATAGAAGAATCTGAAATGAAATCTGAAGAAAAAAGAAGCGAATTAGCATCCATTATTTTTGAATGTAAATTTAAGAATTTAAAAAAATCATGTTTCGCTTTAGTTGAAAATGGTCGAGTTATTATTTTAATTATTGTGTATCGTTGTGTTTTATGATAGTCTTGTACTTGAACCAACATCTTACTTTCCATTAAAATAGCGGTCTGCAAGCACGGGTGCGTTCACGGATCTTGCAGCAAATCCGGAGAGTGCATGTGAGAATTTTTGGTGACATTTTATTATTTAAATTATTAATTTAGATTTCCGTGATTGTGAAGGACGCACGCAATTTTCTCCAAAACTCTGTTAATGCTTTACTCATTTAATCACATAATATCAACTAATTCGACAAAATTAAGCGGGGTAGTAAGAAATGAAAGTAAATTTGATCCCAACCTTAAGATGTTTCCAGGGTTGGGAGGGGGAGTTATGTGGGCAATGCAGCAAGCATCCGGGCTGCAAGCATGGAACGTGCAGGACCTCACCTTGGGAGTGCCACTGCGAACCGAACTGGGGCGGACCACTTTGCGACAAAGGTTGGTTTTATTTAGAGTGGTTATTTCTTTCAAAACATTGGTAGAAATGTTTGAAATTGTTATTTTCATTAATTGATTGGTTTTCCAATTTCAATCGATCAAATTGAACTGTACGAATTTTTTTATATTAACGTTGAAAAAATTGTTTTAGGTTTTTTAATGAAATGTGTTAAAATGTTTAGCCATATTATAAAAATTTCTATTTAAAAATAATTAATATTTGTGAACTTGATTTTTAAATTTAAATATTTTTGCCAAAGTAGAAATCATTTGAAAATTATCAAAAATTTTTAGTTAATAGACCTAACATAATTGTGTTGCTCTCTAAAACAGATTTGAACTACTGCGGACGTCATTCGCCCTGTTTGAATGGAGGATTGTGCATAAACAAAGCCCCCGATGACTATCAGTGCCAGTGTCTTAATGCATTTGAAGGCAGAAATTGTGAAATAGGTTTAAAATTATAATTTTTTGAAACTTGCCAATTGTTAAGAACTTTGTAAGTTTTTAGTTTTTGATTCCTCTTCACCGTTACTTTCAAAATTAACTATATCGCCTCCGTGATAGCAAGGTACCAGGCCTGTTCCAAACGGCCCTGTCAAAACGGAGGGAGTTGCGTTCTCAAGGGGGTCCAGTTACTCTGTCAATGTACTGAAGGGTGGGCTGGAGAAATGTGCCAAATAAGTTAGCGAAAATAGTTTCATTTTGCTGTATGGTCACAGTGAACTTAACTGCAGATAATTTTAATATAAATTTGCGTTTGTGTTATCTTTTCAATTGAGCCAAAATGACTAAAATAAAAAGGTTCGCCACTTATTAGCATTATTTTACGAAACAAATTGTAACATACAGACGTAGATGAGTGTTCCTCCAACCCCTGTCAACACGGAGGTACCTGCATAGATGGGGTGGCAGGGTACCAGTGCATCTGTCCCTCGCAATGGCAGGGTGGTCGGTGTGAACATGATGCTGACGAGTGCATTAAATTTCCATGTCTCAATGCCAGATCTTGCCAAAATATTGTTGGAGACTACCTCTGCCACTGTATCGAGGGATGGACCGGCAGGAATTGTGACATCAGTTAGTCCAAATGAAACGATTTCAATGTGGTTCATTTTGATCAATTTTCGCATGATTTTTTTTCTTGCGTGTTTTTTGGTCATGTATTAAATAAATGTTTTTTTGAGCAGGTTTGTACGGTTGCAAGAAAGGCTGTCACAACAATGGGAAATGCATGGTTAGTCCAAAGTTGAGCGTCATTGTATAAACCGTTTTTTTATTTTTAACGTCATTTCTCAAAAAAGTATTATTTGAACGTCTGATAAATTTTCGAAACAACTCTTGATTTAAATTGCCAAAATCATCGTAATTTTACGACAAGTGCCTAATTATTGACCTAACTTTTTCTATCTAAACTCCTAAAAATATTTAAAACAGAAAGCTGTCGTCGGGTATAGTTGCGTCTGCAAAGAAGGCTTCACAGGCAGTCAGTGTGAGAGTGCAATCTCGAAATGTTCTAGTCAGCCATGTCAGAACTCAGGCACGTGCAGGGATGGTCCAGCGGGAGCGTACAGGTGCATGTGCCCCGAAGGATATTCCGGACCCAACTGCGAGGTTTGTTCTCACGTCTGCAATGCAAAGAAATTATACAAGGAACATTAGTTTCTTTGCTTAAATTCTATATTAACTATCTTGTGATTGAATTTATAACAGTTTATTTTTAACAATTGGCACGTGAATTGATTCCAGGTTGCAAAAAACAAAAACTGGATTTTTAAATTATAGTTTAATAATAGTTAATTCTAAACAGTACAATATTATTTCGTTATTATCAGTTCATTTGCTTACGATAAAGATTAACGTTTGATACATTGAGCATTCAAAATTGAAAATATTCAATTCTATTCAGCGTTGATTGTCTGTGAAAATCATTTTGAATAATTTAACGTGATAGCGAACAAGAAATAAAATTAAACTGAACAGCTTCAGAGAGACCCGTGCGAGCCCAACCCGTGCCAGAACTACTCCCCATGTCACAGACAGGGCAGCTCCTATTTGTGTGAATGTTCTGATTGTTACACTGGTCCCACCTGTTCCGTCAAGAAAGAAAACTGCGGCCACTCAAACCATAAAGGTCAGCTCTTTGTTATCGGCACCTATACGTTTCATTCTTTTCATAATTGTTTTTTAAAGTTATAGGTAAAGCATTTATTATGACCCACAATTCATTGCATCAATGCATCATGCACGTTGATGCACGCACGCCAATGCTATTTCTTAATGAGCTTCAACCCTGGAGGAATATTATTAATTTAGTAACATGCATAAATCATTTGTGTGTAAAGCAGATGATATTTGTGAGTTGGATCACGGCCAAGGAGTTGCGTTGAACTAAGGCAGGCTAATTACGCATGAACATTGCTCGTCCAATAAATTACTGCGTTACATGTTTTGTATGTTTATATCAATTGTATACATTATACGTACATGTATAAATATATATATTCGTATGTATCTATGTATTTATACATACACTACACACACAAACACAGGCGCACACACACATAAACGTACATATATTATGTATTCAACAGTACGGTGCATTAAACCTACAATGATTTCAAATCGTGATGGATTTAGTTATATACTACTGTACAATGCTAACAAAACTATGAATTTCTAACAATTTTATAATTTTACACGATGCTTATATGCATTTAGCGAAGGAATGCTAAACGAATTTTTAGCCACAAAGTTTCATTTGGTTCTTCAATATTGGATTAAAATAGCATCGTTCTATTTTATTTGAAAGTTAAATTGCTATGTAGAAATAATATTCACTACGGTACAACCTGTTTGTTTGTTTTGTACATGCACGTAAACAATTTGTTGACTACACGTGCATGTATTATGAATGTAAAATGTTGCTTGTAAAATCAATGCCAGCCACCCATTGATCCATTTCATGATGTTCACTCTACAAACTTGTTCAACGTTATTGTGTGCGCGTGTGTGTGTGTGCGCGTGTGAAGTTCGCTGCTACTGCTGCACACCTTATTTGCTAAATACGTTGCTTTCATAAAAAGTGAAAAGAACGAATAAATAAATAAATTGAGATGTATAAATAAATGAATATATGTATATATTTGTGCGTGCGTGTGTGTGTGTTTGTTAGTAATAAACAACAAGAGTACTCAGACATAATAATCAGTTTCCTAGCAAAAATTAAATATTTATATAACATTCAACGAAAAATTTGATGTATTGATACGTACATTAAAAACATAGCGTATATCAACAACTCATTTTCATTATCACGTGCCTTCATTATCTGCCTGCATTGTGTGATTGTTGAGTTAGTCATCCCAATTTTCATCTTCAAGCTCTGAAGCATTTTCTTATTTAAAATTGCTTTATTTGATATACTGCAATTTTCGCCTTCCTTTTGCAATCCCCCCCCCCCCTTCTCTCTTCCGTCTCTCCATTCTTTCTTGCAAAATATTTTTAATGCAGGAAAGTTTTTTTAAACGCAGCAAACGGAGATCAAGTTTTTTTTAACGTTAGTTGTATTTATTTTTATGTTAATAAAAAAAACTTTACTTATAAAAGTTGACAACATTGCATTATTTTGAAATCTCTGTTTTTATAGACATCCAACTAGAACGTGTTTTAATGTCAGCTACAATTTCAACACAACGACAGACCAAAAAATATTTATTTGTCAAAATGATTGCACAGGAGACATGTCATGACAGGCATCACTGCACCTTAATTGTCTTATAAATCAGATTGTCATGCAATCTCTCCATTACTGCTATTCATTCGATGATGGGTCATTTGTTAACCTAATTCCTTCCTCACTGATCTGCCAACTTGCTCGCGAACAAAAAATGTAAAACAATTGAGGTTTAAATAAATTTAACTTTTACGCAAAATTAACCTTGATGCAAATTCAGCATGGAGGATTGTTTAAATGAGATGAAATTATTGAAAAAAATTAAATAACCAATTAAGGGATTGCGGTTTGTTATTGACATGACAATACTTTTTCAAATACGCCCGTGCATACGTCTGTTTACGTCGTGACTCATCCAGATATTTGTGCGTATCCAACATCGTCGTCGTCATGCGGCAAACACGGAAATTGTATAAGATCAAGTGCTGGAGTTCAGAAATGCGTCTGCGATGCTGGCTTTACTGGTCTCCATTGTCATGAAAGTATGCCTAAGTGCTTTTTTATTTCAAATTTCCAATAACTCTCTATACTGCTACATTTGGTCAACTTTTATTTTTTTTATTCTCTCATTAACGCTTAAATGTAATCTCAGTTAATTGACCCACGTTGCAGACATAAATGATTGTGCCAACAATCCGTGCATGAACATGGGAACGTGTGTGGACGGCGTCAACAACTTCCAGTGCATCTGCAGCGACGGGTGGGAAGGACACCTCTGCAATATTGGTCAGTTTTTTTTACAAAAGTCTCAAGAATGTTCTTCATTATTTCTACAGGCTTTACATTCAAGCTAACTGATTTTTGTTCCAATGTCAAATTTAATTTGTTTGAATCATTCAAAATAATTTGGTCAGCATGTATTTGTTTTGAGTCTAATTTTATTGTTAACAATTGTTTTTCTCCATTTCAAATTAAAAACCTGCCAGCAGTTAACTAACACAGCTAAACTGATTTAATGGAAGAACAATCTTTCTTTCTATTGCGATTCTTCAACTGATCTACATTTCTTGTTTATAAATTGTTCAGCTCATTGTATAAATTACTGTACACTTAATTTATAAAACTTAAAACCCCAACAAACAACAAAATTTTGCGTCCAATAATAAATGTTCAGACCACACTCTTGAACAAATTTAGCTTGGAACACGATAATATCGTAATTTAATTTTTTAGCAACATCATTTTGGCCTCATTTAGACCTTGCATGTTCTTGACTTTGAACAGTATAGTATGTCTTACATTTAAAACCATTTCCTTAATTTATGATTGACATTGTCAAAAATTTTTTTTTATCATATCTTCTCTAAAAAATACCATAAACGCGCACCGATGTAATTGTTTGATTGATTTCAGACCAAAATGATTGCTCACCGAATCCATGTCGCAACGGGGGCACCTGCATCGACATGCTGGCCGGCTTCAAATGCCTGTGCAGAGAGGGCTGGAAAGGGAGAACCTGCTCTTCAAGTATGCCGCTGCTACCGCTTGCTTTTAAACTGCAATATACGTCGCGTTTTACTTTAATTCTACGGTTTTATTACTTCAATAGTTTTATTATTTGAGTCATGTAGACGTGATTTATTTGTATTCATTATCAATAGCATGCCAGTTTTTGCGTCTATTTTTTGGTTAACAAATAATTAGGTTTGTTAACGTTTTTGACAACAGAGGTGAGCCACTGTGACAGCCAGACCTGTCTGATGGGGGGTACATGTGTGGAGCTGCATGATACTTTCAAGTGCTTGTGTCCTAATAATCTGCACGGCGACATCTGCCAATCAGGTTTGTAACGCTTGCTCTGGTAGCCTGGTTACTTCATTCTACTTAATTTATACCTCATTTTAAAAGATGATGTGACTCTTGTTTGAAAACTTCTTGCGAAGTAACAATGTTGAATGTATAAAAAGTACTGATGAATAGAAAAAACGTTGCAGATATGGACGACAGGATCGATGCTAACTTCGTTAGCATCGATCCTGTCGTCAGATGTCGTTGAGGTGGTTGGAAAAATAATTTAAAATGCTGAAAATGATTTTGTGAAGAAATATGCTATCTTAAAAACTGATGTCATTTGAAAAAATGTAAAAACCCGAAAGCTCAAGATATGTAACAAAAAATGACTGCCATTAGAGCGGAATTGAAGAGTTAAATCGGTGTATAAAAACTTGTGGACTGGAAAGTTTGGGTCGCCAGTTTTGGACATCTGACGTATGCAAACCAATGTCGAAGATGACTGTAAGAACAATTTATTCAATGAATGAATAACTTAAACGTGAAACGTTTTCAACAAGGAATCTGATTAATTTGAAAAAAAACATTCATTCGAAGAACATCAAACAGAGCGAGCCCAAAAGCTGCAGAGTGCTTCTAAATAATGATGATTAATATAAAAACCCTCAATAAAATATATCGCTTTAATTTCATGATGCATGGAAGGTCTCGAGCGTTCTCCAAACATTATTCATCACATTCTCATCAATTGCTTTATTTCCCAGGAGATGTCTTACACCTCGTTTATCTATCTCCATCATATATCTTATATCTATGTATTCTATAACTAACGCCATAAGAGTGCAATATTGATAATGGTAGGAGTAGTAATAGAAATACTGCTATTACTACTACTACTACTTTTACTACTACTACTACTACTACTACTTTTACTACTACTACTACTACTACTACTACCACTACTACTACTAGTATTACAAATATTAATAATAATAATAAGAATAATTTTTAATTTATATTTATCTAAGCGCTTGTGTAATATAGGCCCATCATCACTTGTGTTTATAGGTCTATCATCACTTTATATATGTTTGTACTTTAGGGTTGACTTTATAGCACCATGTAATTAATGTAAAAACTTGTAGGCCTACCACTTAACCTTCAGTTTGGCACATGAAGGTCACAATTCTTCTAAATCCAAAAATGCTTCCACTCATCTATGGGCCAAGTTTAATTAATAGTGAAATGTGAATGTTTTATAGTGTATCAAATAATGTTCTTCATTAGCATTTGAAATAAAAACTTATTTGTATTCAGTTATAAACACGAGCTGTCGTACGAACCCGTGCCAAAATGGTGCAACGTGCGTGAACACGGGGGACACGTTCACCTGTCTGTGCGTCGAAGGTTTCACAGGAACTTCTTGCGAGATCAACGTCAACGACTGCAATCCTTACCCCTGGTTCGTTTTCTCAATCACACTCATAACTTTTTCGTATATCTGACAAAGTTGATGTAGCTAGTGCTTTGGGATGCCTATACGTCCATTCATCATATCAGTGTAAAATTATGTTAGAAAATCATCAACAACAGTAAAAATTATTCTTGACATTCAGAATTAAATTTTCTAATCTTAATTTATTTTCTTATGGATGGTATTATAATTAAAAAATTTAGTGGTTCACAAATGATAAAGAAATTTAATTAAGATGAAAATAATTAAGATGAAAATAAAACAATAAGATTTTTCGAAATGACAGTTACAACAACGGACAGTGCGTGGATGGCGTTAATTGGTACCAGTGCAGATGCCTCGATGGCTTCACAGGACATGACTGTAAAACCGGTTACAATCAAACTGAATTTATAATTTAATATAATATTTGGTACACTATTTCAGTTTGTGATTATAAAACTATGTTAAATAGACATTTAACATAAATTTCCTTGCTGGTTTTTTCCTTGGATTCATTCATAAGTTGCTATTTTATAGAATTTCTTATAGTAATTCATCAAATTGATTTTTTATTAAATTTTTTAATATAGAAAGGATTTTAAAGTTACTAAGTTTATTAAATTTTGTAACGCTCAATTTTTTATAAAACTAATAATAATTTTTCTAATTGTAAAATTTTTTTAACTTGAAGTGGTAGGAAATTTGAGCCTAGCGAGCAAGTCCTGTCTGTTCCAGAGCAGTATGTACGCCCACAACTTCCGCTGGACCTCCGACTGCAACTCCTGCGTCTGTTACGATGGCCTCGTTCAATGCACAAATGTTAGCAAACTTTTTTTCTTCATTCATCTGCTTGAATTAAGAAAAAATATTTTGTTAATTTGCAATGGTGCAAATTAATATATTTTTTATTTTTTGATGTAGTTGAAAATATGAAGTTTTTGATCCAGCTGCATATCTTTTTAAGAGTTCCAGTTTTTAAATGTTTTTACATCTTTTTAGTTATGTAGCACAAGTTATCATAAATGCATACAACATTTTGATTATGTTTTTTTATTAAAAGCTAGGAAATTGTTTTGGCAGATAAGCATGGAACACAATTAGTTATTTCAATTAATTTATGACAATTAAATGTTTTTCAGAAAATTTATATAAGTTAATAGGAAGGTTATTTTTGATTGTTTTTCAACTGACAACTCAGATATGGTGTGGACCGAGCTCGTGTCATTTGAACCACCCAACATCTCCCCACTCCAACTCTTCCTCCCAACTTGCTTGTGGTCCCGATGAAATATGCGTCGTCCAATCAGAATCCAGGTGCTTCACACCACCCTGCTCCCTGATTGGCGAGTGTCGTCACATGATAAACATCGGCCAATCAAAAATCATTTCATCTTCAGACGAGAACATCATAAACATGAAGTGCAGACCCAACCTGCTGGTGACGTCACGAGCTTGCGTCAGGATGATGCTCACCTTCGACAGGAAGCACGCTCCACAGGTTGTACTCTGCCAAACGTCATTGACTCCATTGCTTAGTACTGATTGTGACAAATCTTGTCAAATCAATTGATTGTGAATGTTGTTGTCTCAAATGATTTTTACAATTAATTCTTTAATTAATTGAAAACATGGAAATGTGCTACAAAATAAACAATGGCAGAGATGAATTTAAATTACATTTTAAACTATAATATTTTTAGAGACATTTTCTATTTTACTAATCTTAAATGCTAGATTTAATGTTATCATTAATATTTCAATCTTTTTTTGTCACAAAATACTGAATTATCTTCATTCTCTTACGACATTACATTTGAAAAGTTTTTTATTCAGTAATCAATAAAATTATTAATTAATTTAAAATCATTTAAGAAGCAAGCAATGTGCAGTAACAGTACTGTGTAAACCATTTATCTTCTTCCTTTACATAAAACCCCATTAACTTATTTTCAATGTTGCCAACAATCATCCAAACTCTGAATCACATGTGAACTGTTTAGGCTGCCGTTAAAATTGAAATTAAGATGAATCTTGTTAAACCAATTGATTGTGAACGTTGTTGTCTTAAAATGCACCGCAGGGAGTAACGGTGGATGATGTGTGTCGGATCATTCGCAACATATCAGCTCTGAATGGGATGACGACCGGGGAAACGCTAGTCATTTTATGTGACGTTCAACTGGACGACGCTGACACCATTGAAGTTACATTCGTACGATCTTGTCACTTATTTCATGCATGTCTGCTCTGTTGCTAACAGCTCAGATTGAGTTTAATTGCGTCTAATATTAATAATAATAATTCAGTACGTTTCTGTAAGGCTCTATTGTAAACTTCTTTTGTTGATGTTGTCATTCGAGGCAGTCTTTCGTTCATTTTCGTTTATCTTAGAGTGGTGTGGGTTATAAGTTTTATTGTTAACGATATTTAAAGTTATTTAAACTGTTGTTTAACTACGTAGTGAACGAATAAGATTTCTTAAAGTTTGAAGAAAATGTCCACAGTTAGATAGACGGTTATGTAGATGGTCATCAATTTATAGATGAATTTAACGTGCTATTTCGAAATATTTGACTAATAAGTTAAATTGGGCAATTGTTGAGATACTGTCAATGTTTCATTAATTTTGTAGTGACAACTTTGTTTAATTTGTCTGCTTACTTTTTTAATGCTTAATACATGCTTCACATGTATCATAATTCAATAAGATGTATTGTATAACAATTTTGTTTGCTACACAGTTTTTAATAATAAATATTGTCTACTTTGTATACCGTGGGTGACAGTCCAGACTACCAGAATTTCGTAAAATTTGAGAATAAATTATTATCATACTTATTAACCAGTCACTTTTAGAGCCACACAACCTGTCGGAAGATGACGTGATGAAATACTCCCACCAAATGGCGAATGATATTGAAGAGGTCATCAAAAGAAAGGAATCAAATTGGACCTTGTTTTCGTCAGTTGTGAGGGTCAGACTGGAAGATTTCACCACTAACGAAGGAAACAGTTTGGATTGTCAGTTCTATTTCATATTGTTTTATTCAAAGTTTTTTCAATTTTGCTTAAATCGCTTGCCATTTGGCTTCTTCTATTTTGCTTATTTGATAGAGGTGCCATGTTTCGTGTTGTCATTGCGCGATAACCTGGTTCAAATACTGTCTTGTCCGAAGCTTTTAGACTATCGTACGCTATTTCGTGTTTGCACGTACATACAAACTGTGTATGTACGTCGTCTGGCAAGGAGGTTACAGCTTCTGCGGCACGAAAATCGAGCTAGAGTTATAGAATGCGTAAGAAATTCTGTGCTTAACAGAGCTGCATAATAATGAACAACATCAAAGTGTTACTTTGAAAAAATCAAATGTGCGTTTTAAAACTAAGCGATCTTATCAACTGCTTGCAGTGCCAGTCTACCTCATACCTCTCGTCACAGCCATCATCGTCCTCGCTGGCATCATCGCCATCATCCTCCTCGTCTTCTGGCACAGAAAGTTCGTGAGGAGATGTCGACAGAAGAAGGAGCAGACGGATGCCCTGATGAAGTTGGACGCACCACCCAACAATGATTGCCAGTTGAATAAGCTCAACAACCTCAACAACAACAATAATAATAACAACAACAACAACATTAATAATAACAACAACAATAATAATAACAACAACAATAACAACAGTTACAAAAGTTGTTCCAACTCCCAACGAGAGCTACAGCCACTGAATCGACATCACAACCAAATCCACAGCAACGCCGACAACGACGATGCCATTCGGAACAACAAAGTCAATTGGGACAAGGCCTTGAAGGTTGGAAGGTTTTATGAATATGATATGAGGTAACACGAAATTGAAATAAGGTTATCATAAAATATAAATTTTCCGATCACGAATACAATTATATTGGCGTGAAAGTGAATATGATCATATTTTATACTAAACAAAAATGCTCAATGGCATCATAACTTTTCTTTATCCAAAATATGTATCTTTCAACACTTCATGATATCATTAACAATGTTAATGTTGGCCAGTATGATGATGCATCGATGTTAATATGAAAAACTATGTTATTTATTCATTGAAAAAAAACATTTTAAAAACGGTGTCCTATTTTTTCATTTTTTCGAAGTTAAAAAATTTTGTTTTGAAAATTTCTTTCCAGTCGAAGAAGAATGTTGACAAGAAGCAGAACAACTTGCCAAGCGCCGGTCCGTGCGACATGAAGATGGAGACATACGATGACAGTCCCGCCCAACGACCACATAAAATTAAACAAATCAACGTAAAACTCAACAAAGACAACGTCATCAAAAACATTAACACGTCATCGTCATCTTCATCCTCCAAATCGTCATCGTCATCTTCGATGCACGAGAATAACACCGCCGCGTTAGAATTTAAGCCCAGTAACAACAAAAAATTCAACTGTGAGAGAGATTCCTATGCTGAAGATTGCAGTGAAGATACGAAACTGAAGAACAGGATTTTGCTGTCTGACCCCAACAAAGATATCAACACTGATGTCAAGTTTTCTCCCAATTACGACGTCATACTGTGAATCACTTTTTCAAGTTTCAATTCGAAGTTTCGTTTTTATACTTAATCAATAAAACTGGATTTAATTTATTTAATCGTATAATTATTACATGGTTGTATTTGTCAGTAGATTAGATGAATTTTTAAACGTTTGTGTGTGTGTGTGCGTGCGTGCGTGTGGATCTATAGTTGTTTTCAAATTCATTTAATCATTAATTGTTCAAGTATTTCAAGGCATGTACAATATAAACAATCAAACAGTTCTTTTGTCTTTCTATATGTATACATATACACATATATTATATTTATGTTATATATGTTATGTATATAACATAAGTTAGTATGTATTTATGCATACTGTTTTAATTTCTAAATATAATACGTTAAATGAGATAGTTCGATTCTCATTGAGTATGAATTTAGATAGACATTGTCGTGATTGAGTTATATTACGGTTTTTGTTTATTCTTTTTTAAATTAATATTGCTGTATTTAAGTTAAAAGCCAGTAAGAACATGATGGTTTAAGTGGAGAAGTGAACGTAATCTGTGCTAAACTATATTGAATTATCATTACACTACACACATCACTTCATATCACACCATATTAATTAAACAACGTCACATCATATCAAAAAACATCATAATTCTTTGAATTGCATTACATTACAGATGTTTAAATGCACATTTCTTAATAGACATACCTTGTTAAGTATGTTGTTAAAATGGGAAATGCAAATGTTCCAATTTGAGAGTCGCTTGCTTTCAGGTCTGAGAATATAAAATCTTTTTTTTATTATTTTTATTATTTTTTGTTATCAAATTTTTATTTTTAATTGGCTCAATCTTTTAAAGATTGGTAGACGTGTGGTCAATAAGTTGTCGTGGTCAAATATTTTGATACAAATAATGTCTCATAGTCATTTAATCTGTCTATTTTAATTTATTGCATTTGACTGTGTTAAGGCATTAGTTGTTATATTATTTTGTTGTTGCTGATTCACTTAACAACAAATTTTTATTTAAACCCTATGAAATAGTTCAAAGTTCAATTTCATTCGAACGAAACGTTTGGTAGGCAGGGGTAGTTGAAATTTTTCCTTACAAAAGACATCTATGATTTTCTTGTAAACATTTTGGTTTAATTTAAATTTTATTTTTTGAATTAAATATTGTTTAAATAATTTTATTAATTTTTAATTATGTTTTATTTTACTTTTTAAATTATGTTTTTATTACTATTAATAATATTTAAATCGTTTTTATTGTATCCATAATGTGTTTTGTAGTGCTATAACTGTATAGAAGCTTTGGATATTTCGTATAAATTTAAATGAACAAAATGGAAATTAATTTTTTGAAACCCATCTAAAATAACGATACCACTGCTTACTAACATCCATTATTACTACAACATTATAAGCTTGTAATGTTCGTTATTTCAGTTCTTTGTTTTCTGTGTCTCAATATTTCCTATTTATTCAAAATATGGTTTTCATTTTTAAAATGTTTTACAGTAAGATTCTGGCGGTCCTAGATTTTAAAAAACAAATAATTATTACTTTTAAAATAAATATCCCACGCTGGTTCTCAATGTTTTGGCCATATTTCATTTTTGCTCGTTCGTTTGGCAGATCTTGAAAGAGAGCTAAAAATTTATTTTGATTGAATCTTTTTTACAACAACCACATGCTAACGCACACAGTTTAAGCATTAAAAAATTATTTTAACAATTTTTGAAATTTTGATATATAATTGTCGATTTTGAATAATGTTTGACTCTAACGGAACATGAAAATGTAAGAATGTATGTAACGCTATGTAAGGTGTATGAATGCGTAACACGAGTGCAACACTACCCTTTAAAAATTTGTATAATTTATGTAAATATTCGTTCCAGCTGTTTTTTATTCTGTTTTTTTTATAATTTAATGTTAAAATCTTTTTTCTATATATTAATTAATAAAAACTGATTGTAACGAGATAATTCATGAATTAAATATAGAGAATTAATGAATGTTATTTATGACTGACTGTTTACGTGCTGTTATTTATTATTCATCCTGTTTTTATGATACATTCTAGTCCCGAGAAGCATTTAGATAAATGATGGCGTTGTGTTCTTTTAATGTAAAAAATAGTTGAATGTTCTGATTTTAAAAGTTCAGGCAAGCTGGATTCATATTAATTCTTTGTTGTTAACATGAATGTTAAACATGAATCGAATGTACTTTACAATCTTCAAAAATTGAAAACCGTTAAAAAAAATTTCAGTTTTCCTTGAAGTTGAATCTCTCAGTGTTTTACACATAACGTTATTTTAATAATTTTTATAATTATTAACTTAATACTTATTTATTCAATTTTTTCATATTTAAATTTATAAAGTGAGTAAACTTCTAAGAGTGTGTTGTTGTGAATGCTAAATGTTTGAACGTAACATCGAATAATGGTTATTGTTATTAGTTTTAACTCACGATGAAAAAGTTGAACAATTTGTATAAATAAAATTTTCTGTAATTGAAAAAATTTGAAGGTGTCACGATGGTTATTTATTATTGCCATCTTCTACGTGCACAATTGACTCATCGTACAAAGTTTTTAAAAAAGGATAGATATTTATGCTTCTGTAGTTTTAGATTTGAAGAAATATTTGAAAAAATGTCAAAAAATGAATAAGTTTAATAAGGAAACTCGAGAAGCAGCAGCATGGTTCAATCGATCAAAACATGTTTTACGTGTCTTCTAAACATTTTTTCAAATCTCAGCAACATGTCCGCGATGCAACTGCCTTGCATTTTGTCCCCTACAAGCTCTGGCAATACTGATAGATTGTTCAATGTTCCTAGCAAGGCAAAAAACTAAACATCATTTCCCTCATCCACTAAAACAAAAAGTTTCAAATCAGAAATTAAAAAAACAGCCAAATTTTTAAATTTTAAAACTTTTTGTCAAATTTCATTGAAGAAGGGAGAACGGAGGATAATCTTTTTGAAAGAAGGACTTGCCCTCTCTCAAGAAGACAACTGATAACTCTAAACGCCTCATGACGTAATCGTCCTAGACGCCATGCAACATATACGTGTCACAGAATCACCGAACCACAAAAATGTTATGTATAAAGTTTGAATTGACAGCATTTGAAGCATGTCTTCATTTGTGTAACGACATGGCAAAAGATACCTTGAATGTTTAACACGTGGCGTGCCAGCGGTGACAAGAACTGGAGATAACTTATGTCATTTCTGAGAGATGAATAGCTGGCATATTTGTTAATGTGAAAATTAATAGGTTATTTCATGAAATTTATTCATTTAAATTTTTTTATTGACAGCCATGTTACTGATTCTATAATTGTTGTATACTATTGATTTTTGTTTAAATAGAATTCTGAAATAAACAAATTGGCATGAAAATTAAGTGTATTATAAGCATAAGAAAATATTCAAGAATAAAAAGTAAAAATGTTGATGAGAAAGAAAGTGTTTTAAACTGCGCTGGCTGTCATGCAAGGGAAGATTAAAATTTAATTCCATTATGGCCTGTTTAAGTGCTGCCGTTAAATGTTCTGGCAGGTGATAAAATGTTTAGCTTCTCGTTTAGCTTGAAATGATTAGTGCGCTGATTTTGAACGAAACAACGTAGAAGATGTGAGACTACAAGTTCACGTGGCAGTTTAATGATGCCTGCAGTTAATTAAATTCTTTAAACATCGTTATTCAGTGGCCGATCTAGACAACTTTGACGAGGGACCACAATTTTGAAAATGTTTAAATTTAGACGGGGAGGGGGCAAATTTTGACGGGGGGAAACCTTGATGGGGGGCCCAGATTTGTGGTAGTGTGACTGATGACTTATTTTTTGGTCAATTTTATAGACTAAATGATCGTTTTTCGGACTTTCATTAAAAAAATTGCTCACAACGGCCCTCCTCTAGATCCGCCACTGTTGGTGTCACGGGTAAAAAGGGATTTTGAGTAAATGAACAATGAAGACAAGAAACTTCATTTGCTTAAATTCAATGCTTTGAAAAAACAATTGATTTGTTATTCAATAAAAACTTTTCAAGCTTTTATTTTATGCTAAATTACGTATATGCTAAACTAGGAATAAAATAACTTCATAATTGAATGAATATATATATATATATATATATATATATATATATATATATACATATATATATATATATATATATATATATATATATATATACTTGCTCTTAGGATAAGAACAAACTAATTTTTTGGTGAGATTTACTGATGAGGAGAGCAAGGAAAACACAACAATTTTTTTTAATTGAGAAGCATCATTAAATTTATTAAATTAGCCTGAAAGCGTTCCCTCCCTATTTTAAAGCCTATAAATAATTTTCACAAAATCCTAAACACTATGCATAGTACGTATACATGTATATTTATACTCGCAATCATAACCTGTGTGTGTGTGTGTGTGTGTGTGTGTGTGTATGTGTGTGTGGGTGGGTGTGTAATCTGTGTTATACATTAGATTTTACATCTTATCTTGTCTTTGTAATTTAAGATGTCTGGCACAATAAAAATTAGTTCAATCGTTCAAGATGATGTTTGCAATGATATTAAACTGGCAAATGTATTTTGTTTGAAAAATGATGCAATCTATGAAGACTGCACCGTATCTCTAACACTCATTAATATTTCCAAGAGGTTTCTATGAGACGAGTCTTTTGAAATCACGTCAAACGTTCTATTTTAAAAAATCTTAACTCTATTGAGTTATGTAGACGTGCCTGCGTGTGTTTGCTTATGTATGTTTGTATACCTTTGCCTATGTTTGTTTCATGTGTGTGTGTGTGTTTGTGCATGTGTGTGTGTGCGTGTGTGTGTATGCATGCAATCACGTGCTGGACAACAAGCAACAACGACAAGACAATGTTAGATAGACGAGTGATGGCAACCAACAATGGGTCTACATGATTTAATCACCATAAATTCTATATCATCATTTCTTCTCAGACTCATTGATTTGTTTCAAAAATAACTTACTGCTAATCTCTTTTGTCTATTTATGCATTTGCCTACAGGATGTTGGCGGATGCATTTTGCATAATAGGAAATTTTGTTATTTTAAATTAATCAGTAATAAATAAATAAATAGTTATAATAATTGAAAAATTGAAAAATACATATTACCAACATTTTAAGACGTTTGAGAGAAAAGTTATATCTCATTTTGAAAGAAAACCCTGTTGCTTAAAAAATATTTTACTATTAAAAGCATATTTTCCCCTGAAGATTGAAAAATCTTTAAAAATTGCATTGAGAACACGCGAAATAAACATTTCTGTCATGGCCTTCCCAACGCTTTGGTGAAAATTTTTTGATGCCCACGATAAATGTAACGATAAGTACGGTCGTAAGACCGTGCTTATCATTACATTTTTTTCTATGTACCTGCTTTTGACCGTTTGCAGGAAAGAATTCGTAATAATTTATGTTGGATTTTTGATTGTTTAACATGTCAGTTTTTTTGAATATTTTTTTTTCAAATTTTATTTCAATTTAAAAAATCTAATTGCAGTTTTTAAAATTTAATTTAACTTTTTGAGATTTTAACTATAATTTTTAAAATTTTTATTACAAATTTTTAATAAAATTTTTAAATAAATTTTTTGAACATTTTTTATTCAAGTCACAACATTCTCCAAAACTCTTTATAAAATATGTCTTCTAGTTTTAACATTCAAATAAGAGTTTAAAGGCAAACAGATTGATATACAGACAGACAGAAATACAGACAGACAGAAATACAGACAGACAGACAGACAGTCAGAGAGACAGACATAGACATACGCTTCCAACTTGTGCTCTGTTAAAACGCTATCAACACCGTTATAAAA